GTTCTTAAATTGTAATATTTGAATAATGTGTGTGTGTGTATAGAGAGAGAGAGAGAGAGAGAGAGAGAGAAAACCTATTATTATTATTATTATTAATAATAATAATAATAATAAATAATCGGCCAAAACAATGATCTAATATTTTTCCATGTAACCTTTTTATAATTTATACTGTTTCATACTAAGCTGAAAAGTCTAGGATAGTCTCTTTAATGGTTAGTTACATTATGACAACCTAAACCATATTCGCAGCTGTTTATAGAAAATGACAACGTGTTTAATGAACTTTATCTTTTTCCCGGGCAGTAACTGGCAGAAACTGTTAAGTAGCTATTTATTTATTTATTTATTTATTAGCCACGACTAAACTCTATTAAAAAAAACTACTTTTAAACATATTCATTTCGGCAAACGTGTGACAACTAGCCCGGTCTCTTCTATTTATAAAACTCTAAAGGCGCTTTTATTCACTTATTCACTTACATGACGCGTCGTATCCAAGGGTCTCCGCACTCCATTCCAGTGATGGAGCTGGATTCCGCTCCGGGTTTTGCTCCCTCTCTGCTCTATACATCGCGTCTCCTCACTCCTGCATTGCTGTAGCAGCAGATGTTCGCGCACTAAAGCCAATATCCACCGTACTCTTTACCGGAGCAAGTGTTCTGCAGCGGAGAGTGAGAAGACTTATTTATTAGCCACGACTAAACTCTATAAAAAAAAACTACTTTTAAACATATTCATTTCGGCAAACGTGTGACAACTAGCCCGGTCTCTTCTATTTATAAAACTCTAAAGGCGCTTTTATTCACTTATTCACTTACATGACGCGTCGTATCCAAGGGTCTCCGCACTCCATTCCAGTGATGGAGCTGGATTCCGCTCCGGGTTTTGCTCCCTCTCTGCTCTATACATCGCGTCTCCTCACTCCTGCATTGCTGTAGCAGCAGATGTTCGCGCACTAAAGCCAATATCCACCGTACTCTTTACCGGAGCAAGTGTTCTGCAGCGGACAGCGAGAAGACGAAGAAGAGTGAGGACGTTTGCTCTCTCTCTTCACACGTCTGGAGTGTGTGTATGTGGGTGAGTGAGCTGAAGAAATTAGAGTCGCGTCTTTATTTACCACACCTGTGATGCGCTGCTGTCTCTGAGCAACGAAGACGCACTGATGGCCAAGGTACAGGAAGAGGATATGTGTTGAAAGAGGACTTATAAATGCGTTGATCGGTGTAATATTTCAAAAACTAAACCCAGACAGACAGCAGATACTCCTCGCAGCTCATTCAGCAGATATTACTGACTTAAACTTGAACGAGAAGGTGATAAAGATGCCGTTACACCTGGGTCCCTTTGTCCGCTGGAGATCCGGGCTTGTACTCACATGGATCTGCTTGTTTTCGTCCGGATTTGCCTTCATTGGTGAGCTTAATTCATTTTTAAACGCAACTTTCAGTTTCGACTTATAAAGTCATGTGTAAGCCATGCGTAATTGCTTTTACACACAGCAGCTGGCTCCCTTTGTGATGTGATTTATCGAATAATAACACAATATAATATTTCACGGGGTTCATTTGTATGCGAAATAAGCAGTTTGGTCCAAATTGTCATATTATTGTTACTTTTAATAACCAGAACGCGCAGAAACGGAGGTGAAGAACCAATTCAGGAACTTGAACGTGCAATAAGTTTGATTGACACGAGACTCTCACGGCACGCCTGAGACATTACGGCGAAACGTTTCAACGAATCCAAGGGAAACCAAGGGTTTGTTTAATTGGAAATGAGTAGAAATGTATACCATGGGGTTTAAACAAATACATATTGTTGAATATTACGCCTTGTATTCCGCGTTGCATTTCTGTGAGCGTCAGCTTGAATGAAGTAGCCTACTCGACACGCGCACATTTCCACGCGCCGACATTCATCCGTTCTTGCTGCATTGGCAGCGTTTTTGAAAGCGGTACGAAGTACAGTGAGCTCCGACGGTCATTGAACGGTGCAGGGCACATTTGTTGTGTGCATATATAAGATGAGGTAGCCCAAACATGCATTCGTGGTCAGCTCAGTGGAAAAGAAGCTTTCCCCCAGCTTCATACTGTAAAAAGAATGTTGCTTATTATAACACCATAATAATGTCAAATAACACCTTAACCTGTTGTCCATGTCTGGACATAATTACAGTTACAGAATCACAGTCACCTAGTCCAGTGTTTCCCAACCAGTAGAGTGTGTAGCCCAGAGAGATTTAGCTTTTTTTTTTTTGCTAAGCATGTAAAACTAAAATTCAAAGCTGTTTATAGATCAAACTAATGCATTTGATTGGCTCTTACGTGTTGTAATTTAAATAACCATTTTAATAATATTAGTAATAGCCTAAATATAAATTTTATACAGCACAATATCAGTTGAAAATAACTCATTTAGGGCTGCGGATGGTATGGATGAAAGGGTGCTGAAACCTTATTTGGCCTGTGGAGGTCCATAAAACAAAAAAGGTTGGGAAACACTGACCTAGTCCACCCACAATGTGTTTGCGTGGACCGTTTGGGCTTGCTGAGATCTGTATTACATTGTGCCAAGAGAGTAAGTAAAGTAAGGAAGGTTTTGGCTGTGGGAAACTTGACTGTGGGAAAGTTGTGTTGCGCTTCTGGAGGTTTTATAGTAATCATCACCATAGAGCCCAGCTGGGGACTGCTGATGAGTATCCTCAGAGCACCGTCAAAATTTCACACTTGACTTACATTGTTCTGCCCCCTCTCTGCTGTGGACAGAGGGCTAACTTATTAAAAGTTGTGTAATTGTCAGTCTTGCTTTAGAAAACTCTACATGAGAAAGCTAAATTAAGAGTATTTTCTTGTGCATTAATTAGAGAAGGATTTCACATAAATTAAGATGAGGTAAACAGTCATAGCCAAGGGAATCATAGGAATACAGTGGCATTTCCGAGGTTTTTAAACATCCGTTCAAATTGGAGCATTTTTTTTTTAAATAGATCGCAGGGCATCATATAAAATACCCTAAATTCCCACCACCTTCACATGCTTTAATTTGTCAAGGACACTTATCTTGCTTTGCTTCCAAATGAAAAAAGATCAGACAGGAACTTTCTTATTCTCCAGACTTGTAAGAGGAGGAAATGTAAATTGGATGGAGGGGAATAATGGAAGCATGTGTGCTCGCAGACATTGTTAGTCCAAAAGATCATAGAAGATCACACAAGGTGCTCTCGTCAGGAAGAAATGGGCTGACGGTGCATTTTCCTGTAAAAAAAAAAAAAGCCAACTTGTCTTTTCCCTGAAACATAATCCAGTCAAAAATAAAGGTCACCCTGTCAGTCTTCATCAGAGAGAACACAAGAGACAGAACAGAGCTCTTCCTCGAACAATGTGGTGCCTTCAGGGAGATCAGCAACCGTTGAGCCGACAGGAGGGTTTTCATCAGTCTGTAGACAAAAGGAATCAGTACATTGTGTTTGTGATGTGTGTGTGTGTTTCTTATAGCCTGTGTCAGTGGCTCTGTTGGTTTTGCTTCAGGATTTTATATTGACCCAGTACAATACTAAAATTATTTATTGTATTATTTAGGCTAGACTTTTTAAATTACAATGAACTGCAAACTGACATAGTAATATACAAGTATTATGACAAAACTTAAAAAAAAGCAAACAAATGATGATTAGACGCACCGGCTTTGACGTCAAAAGCAAAAGATATGGAAATGCTATTTTACCATTTTAAATGTTAATAAGCCTCAATTGTGCTATCCTAACTAAAGATTATGTGGTTTATTGCATTTTCATATCAGCATTGAGCATTTGTTTTCACCTGTTGTCCGTGGTCTTATCAGAACAGACCTGCAATCCTGCAACCCTATATTTTAGTTTTTGTATTTAGTGTGTCATACAATTTAGTATGTCAAAAAGAAGAAAAAAAAAGAAAAGCACACACACAGGTCAAACATGGCAAATCGTATATCCAGGAATGTATTCATGCTGCATACCTACACAACTTTTACTTCATCAAATTCAATGCACACTCTGGAAGTACAGGAATCAGTCATTCAATCAACACAACCCTGCAGTAAAGTATGGCTTCTTGTTTGTTCCCATCTCTTTGGAAAAGGAGTGATATAATGGGCTTGCTGTTTTCACTGTGTGTGTGAGAAAGACGCAGGGGATTTTTGTGGTTGGAGTTTGTGGTGGGCTTGTTTCAGAGATTTTTGGCACTGCTCTGAGTGTGCTTGGTTGTTCACTGAAAGGGATGTGTTTTGGGGTGCAGTGAAACTCAAAAGCTTTCTTATATGGTTAAGAAGCTTCTCAAAGGCCCCTCAGACCCTAGAAATGTGATTTTACTTTCATCATTTGGATTATTGCAATTAGGGTGAAGCTAGCGTTTTGGCGTTCTCACCTTTTTGTTGTTGAGGGGAAATTATTTTAACATGAATTGAACATTATTTATCCCTTTCACTAAGCCATACCAGATTTTCACTGTATGTGGTATTTGCAGGGTGTTTTTATGGTGATGTGCATGTCAAAAAAAAAAAGAAATAGAAATGAGGAAAAAGATTTTTGCCCTTCTACTGGTAAGCTATAAAATCAAATGATGCATGTAAAGAGAAGACTCTGCTGTTATGTCGGGCTCTTGATGCTAACCAATGACTTTTCAGGATGTACAAGAACTGAAAGAATCAAGCAATGAAGAATTTCAGAGAAAAATGGAAGATTTGAACAGATTAATGTCTGAGAGCAGATTTATTTGGAGTCGCACCAAGCGCTTGGGAGCGGAACATGATTAAATCCGTTTTTGTTGTGTTTCGTTTTACTCGACACCGGCCACATTGCAATTTCACAATCTTAACATGTTTTTTTTTTTTAAATCAACGATATATTTCTCCCACTCTCACGGTTTCCACACATATATAATATATGTATAGCCGTATTTGAGTTTGATGAATGGAGAGGCGTGAAATGGTGTAACAGAGATGAGGAAAAGGGAAACCGTCAATAGCAGCTGGCTTTCCATAATCCAAGAGCATGCTCCATTTGATGACAAATGTGGTCTTTTCTTATCTCACACTGCTATATATGTCTTCTCCATAAGTGTCAAATGCAAATGGAAAAGGAGAGGCGAGGCAGAGAGCATGAGAAAGTGTGACATGAACCTTTGGGGTGGGGGAAGTCTCCTATCAGACTGCATCAGATCTCGGAAATGTGCCCTTTCACTTGCACGTGTAGACTACTAATAATGGGGTGGAGTCGGGGCTTTGGGTGGGCCTTTAGCTTTTTGAAATTGCCATTGTGCCATCCAAGGGGTCAAGGTTTGGCTGGTTAGCTGGTTAGCATGCAAAAAGCATATTTTTCCATTAATGAACATTTAAAATGAACTATCATAATAGTTTATTTGCAAACAGCATCTATATTGCTGATATTATACTATAGTAGATTTCTTACCAGTACTCAGTTCGGTTTTGGATGGTCTTTGTGACGAGTGGGGGCGGGGCCGAGGTCCCACGGAGGAGCTCCGGAAGGATAAAAAGGAGGAGTGACTACAGTGTTGGACGAGAGAGGACCAGGCCTGGATTTTATTTTGTATTTTGTGTGCGGCAGTCGTCCGCGAGGGGCTGCTGCTTTTCTTTCATTTTGTGTTTGTTTATTTGATTAAAGTTTTGTTTAAATGTTCGCCGGTTCCCGTCTCCTTCTTCCCGACCTACGAACGTTTGTTACAGTCTTAAAAATGTGAAATGGTCTTATGTTTTTCCCTGTCTCTTGTCTTTCTCAATTATAGTTCAGGATAGTCTCTAGCAGGTATTGTAGACCATAGATATTGATCTAGATATGATAGACTGAATCTTATGAATATCATCTTCGTCTGTTGACAATATATACTTCAGATAGACTTGTTTATGGACAAGCTTTGACGTTCCAGTATGGTGGATGGCTTAAATATATTGCATACAGAAATAGTTGCTAATGAGGAATTCTATGCTGTAGTACAATCTATGTTGTAGGCCCCTTTTGTCCCTTCCTAGGCTTCAGCACCTGCTCCCTCCTGCAAGCAGCATGCAGGCGACGTCCTTCAGAAAGGATGCGGTCAGCAGGAGGAACCAAAGATCAGCGCTGTCACCAGAGAGACTAATCGTGTTCTTCCCCCGAGGTGCTGTCAGTGGCCAGAGAAAGCTGGAGTACTGTTGACCTTGAGAGCAGATGCATTTAATGTGCAGACACTGCTTCTCAGCACAATGTGAGCACTAGAGTCTATGAAAGCCTTGGGTGAATGCCCCTCCCCGAAGAGATAAGAGTGCATTTCCCAAGGTGCTTTTGGCTTGACTCGCAGACTGTGAGATCTAAGTAAGATCTGTCCGCTTTAATGATGAACCATCTGCTTGAATACTCAGTAGACTCAAACACTTTGCCTCATCCC